AAAGTATTCCTCCGAAAGAAACGCAATTCAAATAAATAAAATCAAATTCTGGAAGATTTATATTAATAAATATAATTAAAATGCTCAATTCGCAAGGAATAAATAGAAAATTTTAAAACAATTATCTGAAGAGAAAGAGACAATGCAACACAAACACTTAAAATAAAAGTTAAGAATTAAAAAATTACCTAAAATAATAACTATGACAAAAAATATATATAAAGAAAACTATTTGAAAAAAAAATAAATGCTGCACCTTTATTTACGCAGTTCGTTCGAATAGGTAAGTAGAAATTTTTAAAAACAGTTATTCGAAAAAAAAAAAAAAAAAACATGCAACTTAAACAATTAAAATGAAATTCGAAAAAGAAAAAATTACTTAAAATAATAAGTTATAATTAAAAAATAATAATATAAAGAATATTATTTGGAAAAAAGGAACGATGGTGACTTTTTTTCCTCTCATGGGAAAAGAAACTAGGTTGTCCATATATTAAGAATTTCGCCAAGTGAAGTATTCTTGGTGCAAACAAAACTGACAAAAAAGTGCCAACATAAATTTGTGAATTTCTCCGTAAATTTCGCTCCAAATTTACAAAATTTCATATTTTTAGGCGTAATTTGAGTCGTAGAATCGAAATATGTAAAAAAATTGGTATGTTATTTCAGAAAAAGTACGATTTTGTGTCAAAATACCTATGTTAGAATAGTGATATATATAAATCTAATATATATCCTAAGTCGCGCTTTCGAGACATGAAGAACGCAATTTGAATTTTGTCAATCGGCCCAGTAGATCGGGAGATATAGGACTGTCCCATTTTTTTTTTTTTTTTTGCAGTGTACATTAATGTGTTATTAAAAAATATACAGTTGTTAATCTACTTCAAGAAACACTTTATGTTATCTGCAAAAGTGCTACATTGACTTAAAAAAAAAAAAAAAAAAAAAAAAAAAGAGAGAGAGAGGGAGAAGCCTCCATAAAAGGTTTTTCTCTGGCCACCAGTACTGAAAATCAATCTCCGTCCCAAACAAGATAAATTGCAGCATTTCTTTCTTTCAAAATTACATCACATTTTATCATTTAACAAAACAAATCTGAAACACTTTCCCTCAAAAAATACAAGTGTGTTAATATTACCAAACACATGCCCGAATCAATGCAAAATTACATCTGGTTGACTAAGGCCATAGATATGAATTTCTACATAAATTTTAATGCATTCACTGCCAGGGCTGCCACTGGCTATTAAATAATAATACACTGTCACGTGCCTGCGAGTGATCCGCAGATGTAAAGCTTGGGCAACATAATGTTAGCACTGAATATTAAAACATAAAACAAAATAAAATTCCTGCTTATTAAATCACTGCAAAACGCAAAATTCACGAAAGGTTTTTGGATCTAATTTCAGTGATCAACAGACAGCTATATTTATACTTAATAAATTTAATGCATGATTTTATGCCTCTAGAGCAAAATTTGTCTTAATAAATTTTATCACAGATATTTCTGCTCAAAATTTTTAAATAAAAATTTATTTTGCATCTAAATAAATTAACTTTAAATGAAGTAATATTTTAAATGGAAAGTTCCAATAAATTTATCTCTTATTCTCATTACTAACCTACCTGATCTTTATTTTAATTTACTTTATTTCTTACCAAATTTAATTTGATTTAGCATTGTTTATTTATATATCTCTTATTTTAATTTCAACAAATTATTATTAAACACCTGAAAGGAAATCTCTAAGATATTTACTGTTTTAAGTTCATGGTTTTGATATCCTAGGTTTGATCCTAGGTTTCCTAGGTTCGATATCCTAGGTTTTGATGCGTTGATATCCTTATAAGCAGAAATTATTGTCACTTAATTATTAAGTAAATTAACAAGACCTAACATGGTATTAATTTGTAACTGAACAGTATCATGACATTTTTTCCCTCTACCCTCTGGCATTGCTATTTTGAACAGCTCATTTTAAACACAATTATAATTATATGTCATATATTTTGAATTCCTGAAAGATTATTCTTAAACTAGCAGACCCTTTGTAATTGTTTAGCTCAAAATTCTTTCACACATTAGAGTTTTCATACAAAAATCAGCATTTTTTAAATTTTATAGTTTATATATTTTTTTAAAGTATAATTGTTTAAACATTTGAATTTGTAATGACAAACTCTTAGATTAATTTGTAATATGGATTTTTCATATTGTACTTTTTCCCTTAATTTTTTGGATTATATGTATTTTACTTAATTTCTTCTTAGTTCCTAACAATCCAGGTAACATGAATTTTCAAAAGTAAGCTCTGATTTAGAGAAAAACCATTTGTTACACTTGAGAAAAACTGTCTTTGCTCAACTACCCAGCTGCTCCTAGACTGCCCACATGATGTCACCTCAACCTTCAAAACCTCCCTTCCATATGACTATTATTTAGAACCCTCGTTTTTTAGATGAAACCTATTCAAGACAATAATGAATCGGATTGATTCCCAAGACTGACAGAATCAGTTCTATAACAATCTTATGAAAAAGATTTACCTGTTAAACATACATCAGCAATGGTTATAATTACGCAGAAATCTATTAAATAAGATGCTGTCCGAAGAAAAAATAAACAAATATTATCTAAATAATTATTTCCAGAAAATTAAATAGCTTTTGGAGACAATTCATTTTCTACATATTTTTCTCCTTTTGAAAACTGGGTAATTTCAATGCCTAGACACAGATGGCAATTTGAAGAGGAGAGGTGAGTTGAAATAAAATAGAAGTTAACAGAAAAATTAAATTTTAATATGTACAAAAGTTGTAATATGCTATTTTTCCCAGCAGCATAAGTTTTACTAATTTTAATGCAAGTTTAGTTCCACAAGGAATAAATACATGGTCACACACAAAAACCCGAAAAAAAAAAGTTTGATTGAAATGGAAGAAAAAAATCTGAGGAATGGTGACTGATCTAAGAAACTGACAAGCTTCTATGATGAAGACCAATAATAACTGGTGGTTTGTTACAATAAATGGTATAGTCAGAAAATCATCTACATGATTATATAGTAACTACAAAGTTTCAAAAGCACTAAAACTGTTATTTTCATTCCAATTTCTATTTTCATGCTCTTTGGAAATTCAATTAAAAATTGATACTCATATGCTGTTGACTTGGTTAAAAACCAGTTTCATCAAAATTATAAGTTTCATCACACAGAAACCACACATGCTCTTTTATTATCATATTCTAATTTAAACCCATTTTTGACAGACAAGTATTATAAAAAGTAACTATATATATTTTGGTAAACAGTAAAAGAAGGGGAATATTTCTTTGAATTCTATGTGTTTGATTGAAAAATTTGAGAATAACTAGTTTTTAATCAAAACTTTAAAACAATTCACACTGGCCTTTTTTATATAAAGGTAAACTGGAAAAAAAAGGGGGAACAGTTCTATCTATATCTCTCGTTAATAACTATACCTCTCGTTCTACTGAGCCGATTGTCAAAATTCAGCTTGCATTTTTAATGTCTCAAAAGCACGACTTAGGATATGTGTTACATTTTGTGTCTAAATACCCATGTTAGAACAACGCTATACATAAATCTTATATATATCCTAAGTTGCACTTTTGAGACATGAAAAATGCAATTTGAATTTTGTCAATAGGCCCAGTAGAATGGGAGATATAGAACTGTCCCCCCCTTTCCCCCCCACACACAAAAAAGGGGGACAGTTCCTATTTGGCTGATTGGCGGAATTTAAATTACATTTTCATGTCTCGAAAACATGACTTAGGATATGTATTTATACATAGCATTGTATTAATAAAGGTATTTGAATATAAAATTGAACTTTTTCTAAAATGACTCAATTTTTTCCATATTTTGATTCTATGACTCAAATTATGTTAAACTGCCAAGTTCTACAAAAATCGCACATGTAGTTTTTAAAAAGTTAGTTCTCAAAATTTTACCTTCTCAGTGTTAATTGAATTTAATATATTTAATATATATTATTAATATCTCTTTTTTTATTAAACTCATTTGATTCTTTGTTACACATTTTGAAATTTAGGTTCATTCCAAACAAAATCCGCCTATTTTTTATGATTTATTTTTAAAATTTGTATTTTTAAATATTTTTTATAAATTTTTTTTGAAAACATTTTGTATTATAACCTATGAAAATTTTAACATCATCTTAAAGTAAATGTATTTCTAGGAACACCTGCAAAAAAATAAGAGTTTTTTATTCAAAATTTCCAAAGATATATGTGAATTTACATATTGGTACATTTTGAAATTTGGCATATTTGTTATAAGCAATAATAATGCCAAATGTAGTTTATGCACTTTATTAAAATTATTTCAAAGTATGAACCGCTACTTTTTCTCTTCTTGTTTAATGAAAAAAAGAAAGGAAAACAGGTTCTGAAAATTAAGAAATTCATCAAGTGAAATATTCTTGGTACAACTGCAAAAAATGCAGCAAGCCAAATTTATGAATTTCTCCATAAATTCCGTACCAAATTTTACAAAATTTAATATTTAGGCATAATTTGAATTGTACAATCGAAATATGGAAAAAAATCGGCATGTCATTTTACAAAAATACCGATTTCATGTCAAAATACCTTTGTTAGAACAATGCTATATATAAATCTAATACATATTCCAAGTCGCGCTTTCGAGACATGAAAAACGTAATTCGAATTTCATCAATCAGCCACATAGAACACGAAATATAGAAGTCTCATTTTTTATTTTGTGCAGTGTAAATCAAATTAAAATTGGTCTATTTGTTAAATAAAATTATCTTTATTTTAACTGTGAATTTAAGACTAAAATTAAATAATTACTAAAATTGTTTGATTACATATATAAACCAACAGTTTGATTTATGCAATACATGAGAAACTAGATAATAAATTTTTCACTGTTAAATAATAAAATTTTTTTTAATTCCAAGATAAAACTGTTAATGTATACCTAATGTTGCCTTCTTTAATTCCATAGTTACTCATTAAAATATTTTTGGCAAAACAAATGTCGGGGGACACTGTAACAACAGTATTCATAAAATAACCTGTTGAAAGAAAACAGATTATAAACACAAATTTGTGGAATTTATATCTCTTATTATTTTACAAAGTTTAATTTTAAATCAATACATGTCACATTAGAAAATGCAAGCTAAATTATTAACGTCGGATATATCCATACATCCTAGTTGAGACAAAGTATTTTGAAAGGATTACAAAATATTTAGCATGGCCAGATAAATAGTTTACATTTTTAACATAATTTAATCATAAAAACAGAGCATTCAGCCATGACAACAAAATTATATATAAGGGAAATATTATTTAAAATTTCATATATCAGATGTTAAAAAAGTGACTAGAGAGTACTACATAATGTATACTAAGGTTTCCAAGAAATTAAAAGATGTCAAAATATTTTGAAATAATTTTAAAAACACATTAACCAAAATTATGTGTAATAGTTTTTGCATGCTTATTCTTACATTTTAAAGTACTAGATTTATAAGATTTATGTCGCAGAGTAAATTAGTAAGCTCTATTTGTGGATTTTCTTGGTGCTACTCATATTTGTAGCATTAAAAATAATATAAAATTGGACTCCAATAATTAATGTCATAATAATGATGACCAATTTATGGGAATTATATTCCTGGGCCAATTAAAATTGCTTTGGGAGCCTCATGCAGCGCATGCACTGCCGATTTAAGATCACTGTGGCAGTCTGTGTTCCAAGTGCTGACTTTTTGCAATCCAAATGATTCCTAAAAAAAAATTCCATACAGAAGTGAGGTTGAGAATAATAGTTCTTCTCGGTTAAGAAATATATGACAATACTTGACAATGTATCAGGAATTTTAAAAATATGCTGTTTTTAAAAATTCTGCGAATTTTGATATTGAATTTTATATGGCATAAGTGTGTAGAAAGTGATGTTTAATAATCAGCACTTGAAACACAGACTACCATAGCAATCTCAAATTGGTGTCTTGTGGACAACATGAGGCCTCCAAAGCAGTTTTACTTAGCTTATGAGTACATTTCGCAAAAATTAGTTAGCATTATTATGACATTAATTACAGAGTCCAATTTTATACTCCCTCTGTCCCAATTAGTTGCCACATTTAGGTCAAAAATTTTGTCCCAAATTAGTTGTTACATTTCAAGTAGGTGGAGTCATAAATAACTTCCGATGCAGCTTAGTAGATCGACACTGGTAAAATTATACAATGTACATGGCACAAAAAAAAAAAAAAAAAATGGCGGGGAGAGTTCTGTATTTCCTGTTCTACTGGACCGATTGATGAAATTCAAATTGCATTTTAAATGTCTCGAAAGCGTGACTTAGGATATATACTAGATTTATATATAGCATTGGCCTAACACAGGTATTTTGATACAAAATCGGACTTTTTCTGAAATAACATACCAATTTTTTTCCCATATTTCGATTCTATGGCTCAGATTATGTCTAGATATTAAATTTTGTAATTTTTGGTGAGAAATTTAAAAATTTATCTTGGTGAATTTTTTTTTAGTTTGAGCCAGGACTAATTTACTAGGTGAACTTCTTTATTTATACCTAATTTCCTTTCCCTTTTCTTTTCATTGTCCATGAGTGGAAAAAAGGTCATCGTTCATACTTTCAAATAATTTTAACAAAGTGCGTAAACCACATTTTCATTATTATCGCTTATAAAAAATACACTAAATTTCAAAACGTAAATTCACATATATCTTAGGAAATTTTGAATAAAAAACTCTTAATTTTGTACAGGTGTGCGAAAAGGTCTAGTGGTTTAGAAATACATCTACTTTAAGACAACGGCAAAAATTTTATAATTAGAAATTTTTTCGAAAAATATATAAAAATTATTTTAAAATACAAATTTAAAAAATAAATCATAAAAATTGGGCGAATTTTATTTGGAATGAACCTAAATTTCAAAATAGGAATGGAAAAATCAAATAAGTTTAATAAAAAAAAAAGAGATATTAATAAATATATACCAAATTCAATTAACATTGGGGTCTAAAATTTTGAGAGAGAATTTTTAAAAACATTATTTGCGCGATTTTAACAAAACTTGGTAGTTTGGCCTAATTTGAGTTGTAGAATTGAACTATAGAAAAATTAATTGGCATGTCATTTCAGAAAAAGTCCTATTTTGCGTCAAAATACCTATAGTAGAACAATGATATGTATAAATCTAATACAGTCAAAAGTCGTTAATCCGGACTCGTCGGGACTTCGGCGATTCCGGATTATCAATTTTTCCGGATTATAGATCATCAGTTTAAATCTCGTAAGATGGCATGCAGAAATTCTAAAATTAAATATATGAAACCGTAATTTATGAAATAAAGAACAATTATGATCTAAAGGGTATCAAAATTTACAAAAAAAAAAAGCTTAATATTTATTTGTTTACTTTATTAAACATTTCTCTCAATGTAAGCTGTTTAAGTTGCTTCATTTTATGTGATAATACTTTCTCTTTAATTCTATAAAAAGACATAATTTCTTGTTCAGTTACAAAGTTCGCTGTTCAAGTCCTGTAATTGCTGCACCGAGAATACCGACTAACTTTGTCAATCGAAATTTTTTCGTTTTCACTAAACCTCTGCGTCACATTTCTTCATGTCCTTTATCCAATTTTTTTTGCAGCCATTCCACTTTTTGTTTGATTGGACATCGCAAACATGCTTTCGTTTTGTAGATCCTTTGGACAGCTTCCAGAATAGGAAATTCTATTTTGACATAATCGAAAGTTCAAGTTTACTTTTCATAAAACTGCTCTTACAGTCTGCAAAAAATAATAAGCCTGATCCAATTCCAAGATTAAGGAACAATGCAATCTGCAACATTAACTGAAATAGATAATTACATAATTTTAGCTTACACCATCCGTTATACATTAAACGAGCTGGTGAAAACGTATTCTGCACTTGCGCACACGCATATGCGCAGTAGTCAAGGTCTTACGCGCATGCGTAAAACGCCTGTGCGCATGTGCCAACGCGGCGAATGCGCAGAAAGTTTTTAGCTTTGAGGTCCGGATTATGGGTGTCCGAATTAACGACTTTTGACTGTACATATCTTATGTCACACTTTTGTGACTTGAAAAATGCAATTTGAATTTCATCAATCAGCCCAGTAGAATAGGAAATATAGAACCATTTTCCCCTTTTTTTGTGCAGTATACAATATAAGAAGACACTCTGTCGAACAAAAACGCAAGAATATCTAGAAAACGACAACATAAACTCTGAAGAAAACTGGGAAAAGCCTCTGAAGTACGAAAATATTGTAAATTATGTTATGATAAAAATGCAACAGAAGCTGTTAGAGCAATGGCCAGAAAAAAGACTAAAAGAGTGTTGTCACATTTTGTAATAGCTGTAATGGAGAACCATTTTTATATATACGTTTCAATGAAATCCAATGAATCAAAATCAAATCATGAATCAAAATTAAGTAACTTTTAAATAAATTTTGTGTAATTTCATAAAACAGTGTAAATTTATAGTTATATATCATGTTACACGCTGTCAGCCAGTGGCGGTCGACGCGGCCTAAACGAAAAGGTCTAGTGTCAGCCACAAATGGCTGATGCGACCTAAACGGAAAGTTTAGTGCAGCCACAAATGGCTGATACGGCCTAAACGGAAAATCTAGTGTCAGCCACAAATGTCTGATGCGGCCTAAACAGAAATTCTAGTGTCAGCCACAAATGGCTCACGCGGCCTAAACGGAAAATCTAGTGTCAGCCACAGATGGCTCACGTGGCCTAAATGGAAAATCTAGTGTCAGCCACAAATGTCTGACGCGGCCTAAACGGAAATTCTAGTGTCAGCCACAGATGGCTCACGTGGCCTAAACGGAAAATCTAGTGTCAGTCACAGATGGCTCAAGCGGTCTAAATGGAAAATCTAGTGTCAGCCACAGATGGCTCACGTGGCCTAAACAAAAAATCTAGTGTCAGCCACAGATGGCTGATGTGGCGCTCAACGTGTTAAGCCAAGTGTAACAGAAAAAAATATGCTCAACATAATTCGATTTTGTTTACAGAATTTCAATCTAATTTACATCGCCTTAGATGAAACTGAACCTTTGACGCACTGCAAAAAGTTTGTTACCAAAGGTAATGTTTATGGCAATGGTGGCAAGACCAAGATGAGACTCGGATAGAGACAAAATGTTTGATGGAAAACTAGAATATGGACTTTTGTTTATTCAGAAAATGCAGAAAGAAACTCAAAAAATGTGCAAAAGGAACTGTTGTGACAAAAGTTGTAGAAATTGTTAACAAAGAATAAATTCGAAAAATGATTATAGAAAATGTTTTGCCAGCTACATGTGAAAAATTCCCAAGTAGTGAAAAATAGAGTCCTATATACATACAAGACAATGTCAAGTGTCATTTGGCAGTGGATGGTCCCAGTATTATAGAAGAATGTTTAAAAGATGGATGGAATTTACAACTACAATGTCAATTTCCAAAATATTCCAGATTTAAATGTACTTATCTCGGGTTTTTTAATGCAATACTGTCATTGAGACGCTAGACGAACACAAAAGATATTTACATTTTAATTGATGCTGTTGAAGTCGCTTTTCAAAATATAACAGTAGAAAGGCTTAATAATGTATTTTTAACTTTACAAACATGTATGGAAAATATTATGATGTCAGGCAGAGGCAACTTGTACAAAATAACCCCTTTCATTAAGGAGAAGCTTCGTCATCAAGATCATCTTCCGTGAAACATAGTATGTAATCCCGAAGCTATATTATGTGCAAGAAATTCCTTAACTATCAATTAAAATTGTTTCATTTTTGAATAAAATTATCATAACTTAGTATTTTCATTTTTTACTTTCCACAAATGTAGCACTTGAGGTAAATTTACAAGGTAATAGGGTAACCAAAAAATTTCATGATTACTTCCTTTACTTCTTACAAGGAAGTAATAAAAAAGTGCTAAAAACAAAAAAATAGTACTTTAGAGAAAAAGTAAGCGCCTATATGGACCTTTATAATTTATTTTCAAATATAAGGGCTGCTAGGCACCCAGTGTAAGCAGAACAGAAAACACATGCAATGAGTCAGGGACATATAAAATCATACAGAATTTGATATAAGTTAAAAATAATTTAGAAGTTGGTTTTGAGATCAGAATTGATGAGAAATTTATGGCAAGTGGAAGCTATAGGAATTTCTAAAAAATCAGATGATAGTCACAGCTTAGAAAATGATATAAGATGATGTTACCTTTGGAAAATTTCGAGAATCTAAAATCTGAGGGCAACACATATATGGCTCATTTGCTTTGGAATGAGCCTACACATGAATTACAGGATAATTTTGATGTAGTAGTTGAGTCACTGGGGCACAGGTTTAAGAAGTTTCTTGAGAATCACACAGCTGTGATATATCAACATTTTCAAGAAAGTGGAAAACCAAAAACTGGAATATTTAAAAACTAAGAAAAAGTACTTTTTATTGCATGAAGCTGTAATTAGAGAAGAAAGAGACACCACAGAAATTCACAGTGTCTTCAAAACATCGTCAAATGCTGAAAGGAAATTTGAATGGCTACTTAAGTCATCGAGAAGCTACTTAGAATCAGATGTTTCTTTCCATTTGTAACTTGTTTCGCCATTTGTAAAGTGATACATATATAGACTCATTGCTTTTGGAAAATCTAGTTATGGCTCTCAGACTTTCGTAAATTCTAACATGTAGTTTTTATTCTCATTAAGTTTGGTCATCCCTGATATGACAAAGTTTTATTTAAAAATATATACATATACTTCTTTGAAATTACATTCTACGTAAAAAATACAGAATTAATTGCATATTTGAGATTTCTAAAATTTTTTAAGCAAACAGCATTTTCTAAGTCTTTTTTTTAATCAACAATAAATAACAAAATGTTAGATAATATAAATAATAATTACCCACTACAGTGTTGTTCTGGCAGCATCTTTCAACATGCTGTTTGTAATCTTTCATATATACAATGGCAATTTCATCTTCACTATTACCTAGTTTAAATAACCTGATTTCTCCTTGCTTACACATATCACTCTGAAAAAGAAAAATCAAATGTTACACATGGATAATTTATTTTAAAATTCATACATGACATACTTTCACTAAAAATTCTAAATTCACTGTGATTTTGGCCATATAAAATGTATCTACCTTAAATAAGAATTGAATTCTAACACTATAATTAAACTAGATCACCAAATGAAACATTACTTTAAAAAAAATTATTAATGTGCTCCTTTCTCCTCAGATAAGTTATCATTTAGGAGAGATTAACTACATATTTTCTAAGTAAGTACAGGCTTTTGAAGCAAAGACTCAACAGAGAAAATTACAGTAGCACCCTTTTTTGAAAAATGCATTTTTTAAACACAAAAATGCAATTAGAAATTCAATGCAATATGCAATTTAATAAAACAGATTAAATTGAATAAAAGTATTTTAGCAATATGAAATATGTAATTATTTACAGAAACATAAAGCATATAATTACCTTTTTAATTTTACAATAAAGTTATGCAAAATTTGACTTACTGTTGTAAAACACATCAATACATGAATGAATTTTACCTGCTTTAAAAATTCCATACTTTCTTTCTATTGTTCTAATATATTTATACATTTTCTTCTCTTTATGCTATTAGTGACACTTATTTGTATAATTTAAATCACTTTGCATGTTTAAAAAAAATTTTCTGCATGTATAATACAAACAGAAAGATACGAGATACTTGTTTCCAAGAAAAGAAAAAAAGGCTAATCTTTGGAATATGGTAACAGGTAGTTTGGCGACATTTTGGTAAGGCAATACAGGTTACTAGCTAGGACTTTAGCAGTGTACATGGATAATGTCAAGAGTGTGCACAATGCCATTTTTGTGAAATTCTGGGACTTTTTTTAAGTGAAAATAGGTCGCGTGTACATGGATACCACGCATGTGCAATTCTTAAAAATGCAGCAAGCAGTTTGCGATTCTGTACTTTCTCCCAATTTCGCACCTAATCTTCATCATGATTAAGCACTTTTGTTACATAAAAGTTCTAGTATAAGAGTAATACAGCTAGCAGATTGTTGGAGAAAAATGTTGAGTAAAAAAAACATGCCTTTACTTCGTGAAAACAAAATGGCATCCAAATAAAAACTAGCAGGTTGCTGTAGCAGGGTTGGTTGCCAAATTTTCGCCAAAAAATCACCTAGTTACCATAATCCAAAGATTAATCGAAACAAAAAATCTAAAATCTTCAAAAACTTGATAAGATTTTTGAGAAACTTAATAAGACTAGAATTATTATAACTTAGAATAATAATATAAAGCACATTAAAATATATTTTGAGACCATGCACTCTATATAAACGTCTATATTTCTAATCAATATATATATATATATATAGTTTAATAATAAATAAAATAAGAAATTTCTGTGCTTGAGCTGCAAAGGATTGAATTTAGGAAATTATTAACATTTTAAAATATATATTAGAGAAACACAAAAAAATTTTTATATAGAAATATATAATCACTCCAAATATTTCCGCACATTATGCCACTGAAAATTGACCAGTAAATACATAAAGATGAAAATTTAGAACTAATTTTTCACAAAGACCAAAAACAGAAATTCATAATTAATAAATTTCAACAAACCCTTAAAACGTAAATAAGAATTCTAAAAGTGTTAAAAGAAAAATTAAAATACACTACCACAAGAAAAACTAAAAGTATATAAAGAACAAGAAAGAAGAGGAATCTAACTCTGATATAACTTTGTCAGGTGGAGGATACATAAGCATCAATTACAATTCCTTTCCCACAAGCAAAATCCTAGCTTTTCTGTATTCAGAATTAGCTGGTGAATCATTCTAACATGTTTTTAATCTTAACAGTTCATCCGAAAACTCTGGTCCTCCCCAAAGAAAGGGAAAATAAAACAAAAATACTAAGTAAAGTCATAAATGAAGATCATCCTTGAATTTCAGATGAAATTTTTCTAAAATTTGAAAACTTACCCATAATACATAGAAAAAGTAGAGAAAATGTCAAATAGTTTCTGTGAATAAATAAATTTCTTAAAATCTGTCAACAATGTAGCAAAAATTTTACAAAAAACTTTGCAAGAACTTCCTATCAAATACGAATTCGATGCAATGAAAATAACCATTAAAATCTAAGATGCCTAAGGATTGCCCGTTTGGCCTCTTTGGTGAAACTCAAAGCTGTAGTTTGTGAAAGCCTACTTCCAAAAGGTTCGAGAATGCAATCTCCCAAAAGGTGAAATTAATGCTACAAAGCAAAGAATTTTGAATTTCAAAGGAAAACTTTTTTTAATTAAAATCTTGAAAAAGCAATAATTTGAAATCTAAAAATAAACTGACACTCTGAATTGTCAACTAAACAGAAGACAAAGAATTATACTTTAGTGTGAAAAATAACCTAACACTTCCAAAGTAAAACCCAAATTTAAATTAAAAACAAAATTTCTATTTAAAAATATATATATTTATGGATATATATATATATATATATATCCAATAAATATACTATATGTATATTATTGGATAATACAGCCAAAAGTCGTTAATCCAGACTCATCGGAACTTCGGCGATTCCGGATTATAGATCATCAGTTTAAACCTCGTAAGATGGCATGCAGAAATTCTAAAATTAAAAATATGAAACCGTAATTTATGAAATAAAGAACAATTATGATCTAAAGGGTATCAAAATTTACAAAAAAAAAAAATATTAATATTTATTTGTTTACTTTATTAAACATTTCTTTCAATGTAAGTTGCTTCGTTTTATGTGATTATACTTTCTCTTTAATTCTATAAACAGACATAATTTCTTGTTCAGTTACAAAGTTCGCTGCTCAAGTCCCGTTAATTGCTATGCCGAGAATATCGACTAACTTGTCAATCGAAATTTTTTTGTTTTCACTAACCTCTCTGTCACCTTCTTCATGTCTTTATCCATTTTTTGCAGCAATTCCACTTTTTGTTGGATGAACATCGAAACATACTTTCGTTTTGTACAATCCTTTGGGAGCTCCAGAATCGGAAATTCTATTTGACATAATCGAAAGTTCAAGTTTACTTTTATAGTACTGCTCTTACAGTCTGCAAAAAATAATAAGCTGGATCCAATTCGAAAATTAAGGAACAATGCAATTATCAACATTAACTGAAATCGATAGTTAGATAATTTTAGCTCATACCGTCCGTTATACATAAAACGCGCACGCGAAAACATATTCTGCGCTTGCGCACACTCATATGCGCAGTCGTAAAAGGTCTTACGCACACGCGTAAAAGCCTATGCGTATGTGTCAATGTGGCGCATGCGCAGAAAGTTTTTAGCTTTGAGGTCCGGATTATAGATCATTCCGAATTATGGGTGTCCGAATTAACGACTTTTGACTGTATATATATATTTATATCTCAGTTCTCAGAGCCACAGTTTTTTAGACACTATTTAGCGTGCGTACTAAAATTCATCTTCTAATTTCCTTAATTTTGCAGCACAATGCGCAAAATAAGAAATTTAGAACTAATATTTCACAAAGACCAGAAATTTCAAAGAAAATTTACTTTTAGTCAAAGAAAAAGATTGCAATTTAATTTTAAGTAAAATCTTACTTATGTAAAACAAAAATTGGAATAAATAATATTATTTAGTGTAAAACTTTTAATTTTAAAATCAATTAATTCTTAAAAAACTTAAAAAGATGTCCAAAAAGTAATTAAATAGTTTTTAATAACTGTTAGTAGATGAGAGTAATATATCTATATAATTTAGTTTTTAAATTTTTTTACTTTAAAACCAAGACCTTCCTCAAAACCATCACTTCTCTCTCTATGCTGCTTGGACGTAATTTGACTGTGCTCACTTCCTCTCGCAAAAGTGTCAAAAATGTAAATGCTTTTAAATAGGCATGATTAGAGTGCCAAATCAAATGCCGATCCACAATGAATAAGAAATTTGGCAGTTGAGGCTGTTTTAATTCTATTTTTATTTAAACTTGACATCTGTAGCCACAATATGTAAAATATAAATCTTTCAAATAATAAATTAATAATAGCCCATTAACTCCAGTCTTCATTCTAAAAATAATAAAATTTCTAGACTCATTTCTAGATTAATCTATGGCATGAAGCTTGCATAATGCCGATGACATAGTAATTGGAAACCTAAACTAAAAACCTTTCTTACTCAAGCCAAAACCTTCCTCTTCATGAGCTTCCATAATGAATAACTATGCAGCTTCTATATGCGCTGCTTGGACATATGAGAGTTGGATATGGTTACAACTTATACAGGAATCAATCACAGTTATTCAACTACAATATTCATCACAGTTATTTACTTACAATACCCATTACAATATTCAATTACAATATCCATAATATAATCAATAGTTACACTTCAAACTACTGACAATGTTAAACACAGTGCCATGCAATGCACATCTACAGAATGAAGTTTGCACAGAGATCTCTCAATACTTCAAATTTAAAACTGAACTAAAAACTGAGAAACTCATGTTCTCTCCAGTCTCATATAATTTTCTCTGAGCACTAGTACTTTCTATTCCTCAAAATTACTGGAAGGCACACGACGGCTGGATACAGTTACAATTAATACAGTAATCAATCACAGTTATCCAGTTACAATATCTATTACAATATTCAATTACAATATCCATAATATAATCAGTAGTTACACTTCAAACAACTGACAATGTTAAATACAGCACAATGCAAAGCACATCTAAAGAGGAAAGTTTGCACAAAGATCTCTCAATAACCTGAATTGAAAATTGAACTAAAAACTGAGAAACTGATGTTCTCTCCAATCTCATATAATTTGCTCCTGAGCACTCAGAAATCATAAGTACTTTCTGTTCCTCAAAATTACAGGAAAGCATATGAGTGCTGGGTATGGTTACAGCTAATATAGGAATGAATCACATTTATTCAATTACAACATTCATTACAGTTATACAGAGACTAGACCAAAATGTTAAATGGTGGCCAAGTTCAACAACTTTCGGCGATTTTTTACCAAATTAGGCAGATGGCCATTTACTCAATGTTAAACAGACTTGCTCAGTATTCTTATTTTTCCGGCAGAGCAACATCTCTTTAGATTTTAATGTTACAGTATACAGAAAAATGCAGCAATTCCATATATAATTTCACTAAAATTATTTATATATGTACAAAATTCTTAATAATATGTATGTAATAATACGTACATATGTAATACATACTTTTTTATAATAGGAGTTACATATGTAATACATACTTTTTTATAATAGAAATAATTATTCTCTTTGATCCTTAAAATTTGCTAAACTGCACATCTAAAGTTAACAGTGGTCGTGATAATACACAAGCACTGGGAAAGTTTTATACTCATCATGAAAATATAAAATTATGAGAAGTTTGACACCCATAGCACAAAAATTGACCAGGATATTTAATTTCAAAATTTGAAAATTTTGATGTCATTTTCAACTTGCCTTGCTTGGTTAATTAAGTTAGAATATTTTGAGGAAATAAATTTAAGTGCAAAAAAAATAATAATAATTATAAAAAAAATAAATAAACATAACTTAATAGGCTGTAACCAGGAAGTCATGTTTTTGTTAAATATGTTAAATGTTTTTTATGGTTTTACTTTTAATGAAAATATACATGAAAATTAATTTTTAAAGGTTATTTTGCATATGTCCTTAAAATTACTTCTAAACAAAAATTATATCTTGCAGTTTATAAAAAGAAACTATCACTTTTAAACTACCACACATACATAAATCAGTTCAGAAATTATAAAGGATTGCCAAAAACTACATAAGATACTCGCATAACACCTACTTTTATTTCTCCACATAATTCTTCACTTTTGTTTAGACTCTTATGGTATCAATGTAAGAATATTCCAATAACTTGCATTCAAGTCTCTGGATTGCTACCATAACAAATATAAACTTTTTGTTCAGTGTAACATACATGAAATGTCTACCAACAGGATAAGCTTTGTCCAATCAAACAAGCGAAATTCTCTCAGGACAAAGTTGCAGTTATACAGGTGTTGTTAGAAAACTTTGTCCCCCATATTCTGATAAGTATTCTAATTCCATTTTTTGATATTGGGAAGCTGCAACATTACACTGCAAACAGATCAGCAGGGCTAAAAAAAGGTCATAGCCCACTTCACCTCTGAGGCATATTCCTCCAATAGGATAGCCATTTTCACACTGTCCTGATACACATCCAGTGATTAGTGGTATCATTCATTGCTTTGCTACATTAAGTATGAGTTTATTACTACTTGTTACCATTTTTCAAAATTACATGTGCATAGTTCTTGTTACCTCTTTTCCTCTTATTTATTTTTCAAAACTGATTTTAAACCTATAAAACACAGCACTTTTTTTATTAAAAACATCCTGCAAATTTTTTATGCCAAATTGATGCATTCAGGCTCTCCCCACCCTGTACCTCTCTGGCTCAGTACGAGATGAAATGGAATGATCAGAAACAGAAATAAAGTACACTCTCTGATTTTGTGACAAAATCCTCCAAAAAACCTAACCAAGAGGAAAAACCTAATTTTTGAATTTTTTTAAATCAGTTTTCACAAGTACCCATAATTTTGCTGCGTTTATCAATTTCAACATTACACTAAGATAATAAGGAATCAGTAACATACCTCTGTTATGTGATTATTCCAACTAGCCATTGTGTTATTTATTTGAAGGAAGCTTTGATTCACTAAACTTGGAGATGTTGGTTCCTAACGCTATAAATCGTTCGGCAGTAATAAAGAAATGTATGATCCAACAACCACATTTGTTTGGACACCTTTTTCTTCACTGCATGACTGCTAATATATGAAAACAAAACACACAAAGTGATTTGGGTTCAATGGAAAAGTAAAAAGGACACGTTATCTGTAGTTTTGGATTAATTTGGCATTGTTTATGTAGTCTGAAGTAGAATCCCATATGACCTCTTTATACATAGTCCATTTTGTTGTATTTTAGTATACATACATGAAGCAATCATTTTATAAAACTAAACAATATACTCTTACCAACTGTTTATCCACTTCTGTTCGACACTTTACAAAGGCATAAATTTGATGCCTCATGACTATAGGAGGAAGCCTATTCTGGAACTTTTCTAAAGGAAAAATTGATGAAAGATACTGTAGAGCACGACTGGTATCAGTTGGAATAGCTAGGGGAAGAAATTATTCATTTCAGTTTTAAGTATTCAGCAAACTGCTTATACTGATGAGATTATTGTATTCATTTCACATAATAAAAAGTTAATCTATTGACTAAGTCGTTCTTTAAAAGATAATGCTTATATGTAAAAAAACAGTGAAATATCTGATACATGTGTATTATCATCCCATTGTCATAATAACCAATAGGTTATCCAGTATTACGGATACAGTGTTTGCATACAATAAAGCCACTAAATGCTTACACATAACAATGTGTGAAATATCCATATATACTATTCCAGTACAATATATCTGTAACTATGGATTTTTAGGCCATATCCATAGCTGAAGCCATGGAAAGCAAATAATAGTAATATGTGTATATTCATCAGTTAAACTGGTTTCTGTATAAACTACAATCGTATTTACCCACTATAAAACTGCAAATTAGATATAAACTGACCCAAAAAGGTCTCAAAAACCACTGATAAATTTTATACTCATTAATGACTCATATTTTATATTTAATAACTAAAAGTAAACTACACGATCTAACTTTAATAAACAATTCTTAAATTATAGTTACAAGTTTCTATCCTATGATACTTACTTATCACTTAATGTTTCAAAACATTCATTATTACTATAAAGAATAACGAAGGCTGTTTATAATACTGATTGGACCAAGTTTAAAATTCTACATTAAACATGGATATTTACGAGTTTTTTCCCCCTTTCTATCCAGGGAATGAATGGCCACTGGAAGCAGAAAAAATTTTCAAAACATTTTTTTTTTTTTTTTTTTTTTTTAATAAGCTCTCACCTTCAACTTTAAGCAAAATTCTTTGTTATATTGCTTTTCTCAGAGATAAAAGATTTGAGATGATTATCATCATTTTCTTGGAAAATTAGCAACTACAAATTTATTTTCAACAGGAATAATAAAACATGTATTATTCTCTTGAAGAAAAGTGTTCCATTTGTCTTTGGAATGCCTATATATTCCTTCAAAATATCTATAAATACATTAGATTCTTTGGGGATTGGGGTATACCCTATCTAAATCCTTCAAAATGCTTTAAGTTTCTTTACAAAATTAAGAAAAATCTAACATTAAACTTACTATTGCATGCTTCTGTTTATTTTTTTACAATTGTGTTATAAAACTGTCAAAAAATTCAAATCTTGGGAACCAATGTTTTTAAAGTACATAACTAAGCATAACTAAGCACTACTTATTAAATTTCAAACTATTCGACTGGACTATAAAATTTATCAGTAAATTGAGCTATTAAATTTATCAGTACTTAAAGCTTTTCTTTTTCTTTATATCGATTTCTAATTAGTTGCTGTGATTTTTTTTTTTTTTTTTTTTCTATTAAATGCACAATTGCACAATGTCACAAGTTGTCTTGCATCACAATATACATACCTTTACAAATCAATTTCATTCTAACATAAAATCACAATATGGGTACAATTTTCTTATTTCTACAGTGCAATTTCAGATAAAAAACGTAACATAAGTACATTTAAAATTTCAGTTACATTTTATGAATTTACTACAGTATGAGTACTAAACACAAATATATTTTTCAAAAAATAAGTTTCAGCGATATAAAGGCAGCTTAAAAATATGAATATTTAATTAAAAAATGAAAAGTCACACATTTTAGTGAAATTTTATCCTTACTTATTTGCTTTGCTAGCACATGCATCTGGAATTGAAAATGCACTAAAAACCCGAATACACTATCAGTATTACTCATACACAAATAATCTACTAATGGCCTGTTATAATTTTTTTTAATGCTGTAAAATATTTTATATTTTTAAACGCAAATAATTCTACAAAAAGATATTTCCTAACAATGCTAATAAAAAATAATAATTTTAATATAGCTTATTGCAATTTTTCAAAGGCTAGAAGCTTTTACAGCCCTTAAGAAAAGGCACTAATTCTACATAAACAAAAAGCATTTCATGTGAAAGAAAATTTCTGAGAGAATAAAAATTTTTAAGGCAGCATTAAAAAAAAATGTTTGTTAGTATAAAAATACTTCATTACCTTTAAGTGATCCGTTTTCCTGATAAGAATTCAGTCTTTTTCTTTTTACATCGCATATATCACTGAGCAAAGATCGCTTACGAATCATCGTAAACCTAGCCAACGAAACTATATTTCATTTTCTAATAAAATTTCAAATGCTTTATTTTTTCAAAACCCTAGTAAAATAACAATAAACAAAATTACTTAACATTTGCAAGGCTTAGCTTCACAAATGTAATAATGTACTCATAATTACAAAAATAACATAGGATATTTCTCTATACGTACCCGGAATGATTATCAAATACAAATCAAAAAAAAATTCTACACGTACATAAATACGTAGCAAACGAAAAGCTCTAGTAAAAATGTATCATAAAAATCAAAGCATTGCACAATATGCAGTGTTAAAAACTTTCACCAACAACACAGGAAAGCTTAAACTTGAGAAACTTAGTTTTTCATTTCTTAGGAACTACTCCACAAACGTAGCAGACCGCATATTCACCGAATTAAATGTAAATTTGAAGTATTGCCAAATAGGAAACAACTATGGAGCAAAAATAGGTCTCCAGCATGGAAGGTTACAAGCCAATTAGAATGCGGAAATGTACAAAACGCACATAGCAACAGATAAATCTAAAATTTTCAAATTTAAGATTAATTTTCTTAAAAATGCATTGAATATTAATAATATTTATTTCCATTCGTCTCAAAAATGGGATATGTTTAATAACTTCAATATGTAGCAATATGACGTCATTTGCCATTAAGTAATAACTGTAACCGAAGAGTTAAGTCGTAGTAGTAAAGGGACGCGGATCAGATGAGCGTATTGTTTTGAGAATAATTGAAATTCTAACCGCGTTTGATTCTCTAATTTAAATTATTTTACCATGAGTGAAAGTGATTCAGGGGTAGATACTGGCAGTGAAAGTAATGAAAGTTTTTGCATGTCTGTAGGATCACCATCTCTCTCAGATGATGACAAGGTTGAGGTTAAGTGATTCTCTTTTGCTTTAAATTAATGTGTATATTAAAACTAAACAGTCATGTTTATTAGTAATGGTGGTTACTTTCGTATTAAACTTGTGATCTGAAGTATACTTAAATGTCATCGTTACATCGAATTGTTTGAAAATTGGTGAAAGATTTTTGAAAGCTCTATCGCTGATCCAAAATATAATTTTTCGTGTTGTGCTCTCATATGTGAATTGATATTATACATATCTTACTTTTTCTGTGCTATGAATTATGCATGATACTTTGTCCAGTTACAATTGAAGTTTAAGATATTCCGCTTATCAAAAGAAATGAAAATTTTTACAGAATGTAGAAAGTAATTATTCCGTTATTATATTGTCTTTTCAGTAAAATAATTGTGTAGTCAAATAATACATCAAATTTTAAAAAAATGTATAAGAATATATTTTTGCAAATATAAACCAATAGAATCATTAAGTTTAATAATTAAAGAATGCTAGTTAAAATTAATATTATACATTAAAGCTTTAATTTCTGATAAGACTTATGAAAAAGACTTATAAAAAAACATCAGAGAATTGTATAAACATGGCATTGTGCACTGCCTTGACTTTGTCCATGTACACATGGATCTGTTTCCTTTTAAAAATCAAAGGAGTAGCCAATTCTACACTACAGCCAAACAAAAAATGTATAATCTCAATAAACAGCATTTTAAATCAAACAGTGCAATAATATAAAAAATAAAATACATCTTATCACATCTATGCACTACACAAAGAAATTATCCACTTAACCTTATTTAGAAATTTCTGTGTCTTCAGTTTGTGGCACACAAAATTCCTTAACAGCGTCCAAAAACTTTCTTCAAACCATGTTCCCTTTCTAATAGAATGCTTTATATGGTGAGCATTTGAACCTTTCTTGCGACAAACCCATTCAAAGCCATTTGAACAATCTTTGAGTTTAACCATGCACATTTCCTTCATACAAACAGGACACATAATTCCGTTGAATTACATCCAACAAAGTTTCTTTTCTTCTGCCTTCAACCACATGAAAAAAAGACACCTTCCGCTCTCTCGTTCCATACTATCAAGCACCCAGTTTACCACCGGCAAGCCATTTTACGATACAAAGCAAACAATACACAACATACTTCCTAACTGACATCCAACAAAGAAATAAGCCCTTACAAATATTTTCCCATCAGTCAAATTCTCCGCAATCACACAACCAGTCACGTCATGATGGTGTTTCCATAACATTCAACTACTCAGGTTACCATAAATGAAACAACAGTTTGGCAATAAATGAAGCAACTTGGTGATAATCTATGGAGCACCCTAAAATATAGACTAACCAATAATAGGTAAAGCTACCCATGTATAATTTCTGAATTGGGGCAGAACAGTGACAGACAGGTGTAACCAAGTATAAATGTAACTAACTGCACTTCTTAAGGTATTGTGCTGTCTGATTACTACTGTGACAGGTATTAAAGTTAAGTATATTGTTGTGGAGGAATTTATAATTATATAAAGAAATTTTGGTTGATCTTTACATTACGGTAACTGGTAGTTTGGCGACATTTTGGAGGCGATAAAGGTTACTACCTAGGACTTTGGGGAATAATGTGAGAAGTATCCAATTCCAATTACGCATTATTTTGTGGTGAGAGAAATGAGAGATCATGAGATATATCATGTGACATTTATGGACGAATCACGGTTGTTTAATCGGAAAAGGGGGAAAATTTGGGAAAAAATATCTGCAAATTCTTTATATTGGCATTTATTCTATTTAGTGTTCAATTGTGTGTTGTGTGAATTTTTGGATCCATGGCCGTAAGTAAAGTGAATTCGAAATGGGTATTTAGTGGTATTGAAAAGGATAGTAAGAAATGTTTTTTAAGGTTGTGTGAGAGAGAAATAAACATGTTTTATTATGTTATTTATTTTACCTGGTATCTTGCTTTGAAAGATAAGTATGATTTTAAAGATTCTGAAAGGAATGAAGAAAAGTGTATCCGCCACGTAATGAAAGATTCTGAAGGAGATTAGGTAAGTTAGTATTTTAATTATTTTTATGCATTGTTGGAAATGTAAGGTGGAAGGAATTTGGATTATTGGGAAAATTGTTATTAGCAATGATTTAGTTTAAAGTAATTAGGATTGTAAGGTAATTTTATTAATTGAATGTATGTGCTCATGTATATTTTAAGTGGTTTTTTGAATTTAATTATATTTTTAATGAAATGATAGTTATTTTGTGAATTTTATACTTGTAGGAATTTGGTGTATGTTTAAGTTGAAATAAATGTGCATGGAAATAATTTAATATTTGATAAATATTTGTAATGCTTCATGTATGATTCGTTGGTGACGTGTATAATGTAATAGATGATTTAGAGGTAAAAGTTTTTGGATATTTTATTTATTTTATATGTGGAAATGTTCATATTGTAAAGGGTAAATACTTTTTCGCGATCATGTAATTTCATATATGTTCTTTTTACCGGGTTTAAAGATTGAGAAAATTGTCATGTATTTTTCGTGAAATTTTTTTAATTTATGAGATAAAAGCAGTGTACATGGATATAGTGAAGAGTGTGCGCAATGCCATTTTTGTGCAATTCTGGGATTTTTTTTAAGTAAAAATAAGTCGACGTGTACATGGTTCAGTGATATTTTAATGAAATGATAGTTATTTTGTGAATTTTATGCTTGTAGGAATTTGGTTTACGTTTAAGTTGAAATAAACGTGCCTGGAAATAATTTAAATATTTGATGCTAAATATTTGTAATGCTTCATGTATGAATTCCTTGGTGACGTGTATAATGTAATAGATGATTTAGAGGTAAAAGTTTTTGGATATTTTATTTATTTTATATGTGGAAATGTTCATATTTGTAAAGGGTAAATACTTTTCGCGATCAGGTAATTTCATATATGTTCTTTTTACCGGGTTTTAAAGATTGAGAAAATTGTCATGTATTTTCGTGAAATTTTTTCGAATTTATAAGAAAAAAGCAGTGTACATGGATATAGTGAAGAGTGTGTGCGCAATGCCATTTTTGTGCAATTCTGGGATGTTTTTTTAAGTAAAAATAAGTCGGCGTGTACATGGTTTATGTGTATGTGTTATTTTGAAAAACGCGTAAGGTGTATGGTATTGTGCACTTTTTCCGAATTTTGCAGTGAATATTTGTCATGATTAAGCAGTTTTGTTTGATAAAATTTCTAGCATAAGTGTAATTCGGCTAGTAGATTGTTGGAAGAAGTGTTTCAGTAGATAAGAAGAAAAGAAACATGTCTTTACTTCGTGAAGACAAAATGGCGGCGGGGAAAAAAAAAATAGAGGGTTGCTGTAGGGGAGTTGGTCGCCAAAGTTTCGCCAAAAAAATCGCCAAGTTACCGTAATGTAAAGATCAACCGAAATTTCTAACATCACAATATATGTAAATGTGACAGGCCTGAAAAGATCATTGTAGATGATTATATCATTATATTGCTTTAAATAGGTTTATTATTATAGTGCTGTTAGCATTTTAAGGATTTACCACAGTACCTTTCAAACAGTATATCTTTTAGACAAATCTGTTACATGCAGTTTTATTGTATTAAGAATTTATGCAGAAGGAATTGAAAAGAAATAAATGCTCAGCTAATGTACCCATTGATTCAAGGAAGCTGTTTTCAAAGCTTGCAAAATTTTAAGTGGATTACCAACACAAAATCATTTCATTGTGAGCTGTATGTTATTTAAATGCTGATCATGTGATCAATCGGAAATCGCTTCAAAAATTGTGTAATTTTTTTTCATATTTTAAATCTATATAAATTGGAGAATTGAAAAATTCACTTTTTCTTTCTAGAAAATATTTTTTATATAGATTTTTTTTTTGAGAAACTAAGTTGGCAGAAAAAACAATTTCAGATGTTATTGGCCAAAAAAAAAAATTTTTTTTTTAAATAATATCAGTCAAATTATAGTTAATTTCTATATACTGCATAATATAAAAAAGTAAAATGTATAAAATTTAAGAAAATATGCAAAGTCCAACTTTACAGTCTTTGCTCCAGATTCAATAAATATAATTAATAATTCGATAATTCAATTAAATAATCAAGATAATCACTGAACGTTTTCTAGCGGCCATTTCTGTAAGAAAAATGGGGCAAAAAGTGGTGTTTGAGCGGTAATACCACGTGCCTTCAAATGCCACAATTTAGTGGACAGCTAATGATATCTGTTGGCCAAAACGTAAACTAAACATCTAATACTGTATATAATTTATTTCAATGGTTAAACGGGGAAAAAAAGGGATGCACTCCTCGATAAAGGAAGGAAAACACATGCCAGCGGAAATCGCAGATTTTGCTACATTTGAGTTGCCGTGGAAATTGCGGGATGAGCAGCCAGAGGGTTAACAATTTATTCCATACCTGAAAATTTTATTCAGGTACTTGTGTAATAGCTGGTGTTGGAATTTGAAGCACTCTTCTACACTCCTTTCCACACATGTCAAAAAAAGGGGTGGCGGAAAAAGTTGAAAATTTCTGTGTAGCAAAGGTAATTTTCATCATAAAATACCTTAAACTACTACCAAACTGTCTTTCATTGGACTTGACTTAATAAAGTGAACATAAAGCACCTTTTTAATAATTGCCTATTTAATTTTTAATGCCGGTGTTTGTTAATTTTGTATATTTAATTTATATGCATACTGTTGTGTAATATATATTGGAAAATTCTGCTCATCTGGGAAGCAAAAGAAAATGAAACTTTTGACATGCTTCTGTGGCATTTCTTCCTTGTTGAAATTCATACAAAATAGTATACTGTTATAAATGAACTGAAGATGATCATGTCTCATTTAATATTGACATGAGATACATTCAATTAAAGAAATTGTGTATAAATATAGTGATAAAAAGAGACAGTCATATAAGTCTCAGTTAAACACACGCCTATCAAAACTTAAATTAACATTATTAGGCAGAACTTTCT